GGTGGTAAGAAAAACATTCAAAATATGTGTTGAAGGATTGTATCAGTACAAAGGGAGGTAAAAGAAGGAGGTTCACAGGAAAAGTTATGAAGAAGGCTTGTATAAAGGACTGTTAAGGAAACAAAGGATATATGATAAGAAAAAGAAACAAAGGATATATGATAAGAAAAAGGAAAAGGATATAGGAATGGAATAATTTAGAGGGACGATTAAATCAAAGATTAAAAAATGAAATGAATAAGAAGAATCGAGCGTGCGAACGTAGATAAGAAAAGTGACGCAGGTTGTAAGAATAGTAGAAAGAGAAGTTTCAGTTGTAAGTTACATAAGTAAAGCGATGGAACTCGTAACCTGAATAGGAACGGTACACATCTATTCTAGTCATCTATTTTCAAAGAATAACAAGACAGTTTTTGTTTGGCAATATACATTTCATTACTATGAGGTACTGTATGTAAATTATAATTTAAAATTTTTAACATGTAGACAAGAATTTCATAATAATACACGTTTGCTATCATGTTTTCTGTAGCATGTATAAATCACGAACATGGAACGATACTTTGTCAAATTTCTAAAGATTAATATTTTTTACAAATAAATAAAATTTGCGGATATACAAAGTAAATCAAGAAACTAGGACAAGCTATATCTCTGTTTCTAATGAAGTTGGAAAAAAATCGCAAAGGAAAACTTTACACTATTTGATAGGCACTATCATACTACAGTACCTACCCGTATTTTCATGAATGTGTTAGTGTAGTTGCAAAGTACAATAGCATTTTTTTAACATCATATTCTATAGTTTTTTTTACATAGATCGTTTTTCGTCTCATTTTACGGAAAAATGATTTAACATGCTATTATTGAAATTCTATATTTTTCGAAATATTTTACTTTGAAAATTCATTGTTATACGAATACTTTGATACATATATTGAAATTATTACCCTCTCACCTTATTTACTAACAACGAGCTTGCAGTGAATTTTCAAAGTAAAGTGTCTCGAAAAATATTGAGTTTCCAATGATAGTGTCTTAAACTTTTTTCGCGTAAAATGATGCGAAAAAACGATCTATGTGAAACTATGTAAAAAATGGGGGAAAGTTTTTCTTCAACTTTTTTCTAACTTCAACATAAACAGAGTTATAGCTTGTCCCAATTACTAGGTACACCCTGTATATACGTCGTTTGAAACCATACAATTCTGCAATGCTAATTACAAGGTATAAATATAAATTATTAAATACAATTTTCATATCTATTTTTAAATGTTAATATTTTACTATTGACTATTTTTCAACGTTTTAATGCTGTACAAATATCATTAAAATTGATAATCGTTATTTCGGAATGGCCATTTATTTAAAACTTTTGGTTTTATTTTCTCGTATCTTGTGAAAGTTTGCTTACGGTATGTATCAGCCTTACGAAGCATTAGTTTAATCATGGGAACAAATCTATTTTGAATGATATTAATATAAAGTGTGAGAGAATGATGTTCTGCTTAATGCACAGTATACAATATAAAGAATAGATCATTATAAATTAGTTCCTTGAATATCCTTTTTACTTTCAGTATCATAACAAGAAATAATTTTCACCTTTGTACCATCACCACCGTTTACTTTGAAGGAATTTTATATAGCTTTCTCGAGCATTTCTTTTTTTATTCTACTACTAAACATCAATAATCTGACTTCCGAATGTTTTGAAAACTTATCATATGACAAACATCTTAAAATTCGATATTAAATTCCATCATAAAATTACTCAACGCATTGTTTATATTTTTAAAAATAATTAGGAAATTTTAAAATCATCGAGAATTCCAAAATACTAATGCAGGTAACGAATATACCTACACAACTGCAAACTTCCAAAGTGATTGGATAAATAAAATTCGCATAATCTTATACATTGTTTTAAAAGATATACTTCTGAGAAAAATGCTTTAAGAATTGCATAACAGAATTCGATATGGAATAAGTTCATAGTTTAGCTTTGTATTTCGCAAATTAACCCGAATTAACACGTTTGCAAACATCAATTTATTTCAGTGTTAATAATAATAATAATTAAAGTTAAATGTAATATATTGTTTTTAAGAAATTTTTAAAACATTATCTCATACGTTACTTCAATAAAAATCCACTAAAATTAATTTTACTTTTTCAATGAAAATACGAAATTGAGCTAATTACAAACGTGTGATATACGAAAAAGTGGGGGAAATGGTACCTTTTATATTTCATTTCAAACTGTTTAAACTTACATTTAAATAAAAAAGAAGTTTCTTAATTTTTCAAAGATATCTCTATATCTAAACCCCATAAATATATCCAACAACCTATTATGTAATAATATAGTAACAATAATAACAGTATCGTCCGAAATCTTTCATCGAAGTAACAAATTTGTAAACATTCCATTTTTATATTTACAAATTACATTGTAATAAGCAAATTTATGTAAATACCTACGATTCATTCACCGCGCGTTTCCATCTATCCGATTAAGGCACCCTCTACAGATGAGACCAGAAGGCTCGAGTGTGTTCGAACTTGAAAATATTCACGCGGGAAAAGTAATCGCGACCCCTTTAAGCAGTCCATCCCATCGATACAGTTACGCGAAAAACTGATCGATAAAACCGGCCGCGCCGTACGCGCTACATGTGCATAGAGACGGCAACGAACTTACCTGACAGAATTGGTGCCGGTGGGCGAAGGCGCAGAACTGCTACCGCCCGGCGAGTCTACCCCGTCATCGGCGTCCCCCTCGACCGATCCGAACGCCTCGTAGCTCTCCTCTTCCTCGTGGGTCCTGGCAATCTTGACAGCGTTGCAGCCGGACGCGGAGGATACATCTGCGTGCTCGGGACTGGCAGAATAGTGCCCGGAGTCTTGGAGATTCGGGTTGACCAGGTTATGCAGGTCGACCGACATAGAAAGCGAGGGCGGACCGCTTTCGCTCCATTCGATCGCGCCGGGAGGGCCGTTCACGCGAGTGCCACCCTCGTCCTCCGCGGTGCACGATTGTCGGTCACTCGACGAGATGGCATCACCGTCACGAGCAACGTCACTGTCGGACACGACAACACGCGATGTAACCACGCTGCTGTTAGCGGGTGAGACGTTTACGCCACTCGGACGGGAGCTTACCATCCTTCGTTATCGGCCAGGTTGGAGCCTGGTGAGCTCGACACGGCCAACCAGGGGAACGTGAGACGCTCCGCTCCCGACCCGTTCAATGATCGCGAGAGGACCGCACCGCGCACCGGTAGAACCGGTCGTTACTGAAAAACGTTCTCTAATGAGTCAGAGTTCAAATACGCCAAAAAAGAGAATAAAAAGGGAGACACAACGGAGTGACGGGGGACACGAGACGATACCCGTTGTAACACCGTGCGCGCACCAGCGTTTGCCGGCCTACGGGTTTCCACGAATGATTATTGTTCCGTGAAATACGGTACCACCGTTGCGCGAAATAGTCACCCACCCCACTCCCTACAATCGGGAGACGCTACGGGACACCACGTTCCCATCTATGTCACGGTTAACCGTGGTTTGGATCTTGCCGCGTAAAATCATTCAGTTACAGTGATGTTGAGTTAATTGTGTGGAACGTTTGCACAAATGATTGAATCTACCGTGAACCATCGGTGGTTATTTAGTAGACGTGTTTTCGAAGTAATGTTTCCAGTTTGTATTATTTTTGTGTATGGTGAATAATGTTAGAAGACAAACATATGGTGTAGATATACAGATGAGATGGACGGAAAGGTGAATACTAATGTAAGGTAGCTGATTTGTAAAATACTGTATTGTTATTTGGAAATATTAAGAAAACGGTTTCAAGCATTAACACTAAGTTTACGAACATCTCTTGTACAGTTTATTCTATTGTTCCTAAGAAACTTTGATCATTTCGATTTTGGAAATTAGAGGTTTAAAAATAGACGATTAAAGTGTATTACCTTGTAACTGCATCATTTAAAATCGACATAAACATTTACCAAACCATATTTATGAAATTTGTAAAAGTAAACCTAGTGTTAATAAAGGTATTTATTTATATATACACGTGAGAACAAACGCGCTAAATGTCTACGTAAAATCACTTAGAGACTATATTTAGGTGCGAATATTCATTGACTGGCTCTCAGTCTAGTGCACACATAGTTCATAACCAAAGGTGGATAAAAGTAAATATTTAATTTGCCGTAAATTATTCCTATAGTACAAACTAAAATGACGGAACACATTGTTTATACAGTTCGTATAATCAAATTAAGAAAATAATCTCTGTATAATAGAGCTTCGAATTTCTACGGGTTTTTTGTAAAATATACGCAAATGTAAATATAAACAAATAAAAAATATACAAACTGAAAGCAAAAGAATTTCTAATTCAATATTTTCTCAGCTCCATAAACTCCATAGATTGTTTATTTTTAAACAACACCTTGTACATATTCACAGGATTTCATACACAGATAAACATTTTTCGAACACACGAATTATAGGTAACTGTTTGTTATGAAAAGAAAGTAAGTTTGCAACACCGTTAATTAAACGTATATGTATGTAAAATATATATCATAAAAATTCTGCAATGACTTCATTCCATTAATAATCGTCATAGTAAGATAGTACTTGAGCTCACTTTCACCAGGAAAACATTTCCTGGTGACTAATGATGTCCCCATAACATAATCATGAATTGTAGGAAAATCTTATTTTCATTAGTAAGCGTGTGATCGTCGGAAGTACGTTAAGTATACATACTTTGTCTTCTTCGGTGCGATTCGTCATCGCGTTCAAGATTTCTCTCATTCGCGAAGTTACAAAGAAAGTTCTTTCCTTTATTACACTTACTTTAATTTCCGCAATGAAATTATTTATATAGCAAACAAAATATTTTTCAAAACGTTCTTTACGTTATCTGATAGAGTTTCTTTCGTCCAATAAAAAAATGATACAGAAAGTTATTATCTTTTCATAGAAAATAATTTCACTATACATACTAAAATTTATTTTTACGCTAAGAAATTACATTGTCATCGATTATCGAATATACAGTTCCGAGAAACGAAGCTTATCCTCAACTTTGACTATTTTGCACCAATACAGATAATACTGTAAAATTTTTCCCATCACCCCACGCGAAACACGACAGACAGACCATGATTCTGTCAAACAATGGAGTCTTTGAACAGTGAGGTAGAATAGTTGATACATTAAGACAGCGATTTCCAAACTGGGATGCGCGGACTAGTGCAAAAGGAGGCGTGAAAAGTTAACCAGAAATGTAATTTACGTTTTTTTCTTTTTCATTTTTTGTATTAATACATTTTTTACCATTTAAAAATGTGTCTATATTATTTTATGAAATAAAGATTAGATTTTTTTAAAAGAAGACGTAGTAACAAAGTTTGGAAACCACTGCATTAGGAGGTATAAAAGTTCTTAGACATCACTGGGGATTACAACAATCTGATGATCGCCACGAATGACGGCCTACATTAACTAGGGCTTCGGTTGATACACGTTTTTGTGATTAAACGCTTACGCGAATTAAAATTCGGTTATAAAAACAGATTAAACAGGTATTTTACCCCTTGCCTTATAAAACCGTGTCAGACTTTTGGCGAAGATTTCAAATAGAGTGTAACAAACATAAATAACACTTAATTCTTTTGAACTTAAATTAAATATCATTTTTCTGTTACCAGTGATTATAATTTAGAACACATATGGACAGAGAGTATACCTAGAATTATTCTTTTTTTCAATAAATTATTAATGACAAGATCAATAAAAATTATAGGGCAAGGGGCTAATTTTGTTTTGACTGCATGAGACTGATTGTACTAAAATTACGATGAATTTAGAACATAAACGAAAATAATTATTACATTAAGTTATTCGAAAGATTAAGAACATATATATCGTTACTTCATCCATCACTCATTTTAAACTGCTAATTGTCTGAATTATAATAAGAAAATTAATTAACTGATTTTATAATCTACTACAGTATAATTTGAAACATATTTTTTTCTGGAACTTGTTAAATGAAAAATAATATGCAACAATATTTTTTTATGCAACGAATAAAATAATATAACGCGATGTCGCAGTGTTCTAAGCTACAAGTTATTTTAGAAACTACGAACGTTGAAAAGTATTCCTAGAATATGTTTAAACGTACAAATATCTAAACGCCTATACTAAACATTTAAGTTTCAAATACTCAATTGGTCATAAGTGGTACTAAACTGACAATTGTTTCCATTAGGTCTAATAATAATATTATTCCAAAATATATATACAGAAGGATAATACTAGATTGAGTTCGAAGGTAAATACAGCAAAATTCCGATTATCCGACATGCTTGGGATCGAGAGAGTACCGCATAATCAACCGTACCAGATGATTGGACTCTACCTGTACGTATGATGAAAATGGAAAATATAATTTATAAAACAACGGAATAATATAGTAATATGATCTATTAACGAAAATAAAATATATAGATGTAACACACTTTTTTTTTAATTTTCTTCTCTTTCTATAGAATACCAGGAAGTTTAAATATCACATGACGCTTTTTAAATATAAGCCCCTTACATCGATTTACTTTATCATTGTTTATCTTTTGTTAGCCCCCTGTCTTATGATTTCATTGGCATGTACGCTAATTAAAATTATTTTATCGCTTCTAATTCACTGAAAGAAGGAAAGCATTTCAAGCGCATTTTATGTCTATATTCACTCTAGAATAATACGATTGATAATGGAAAATTAATATTTAATTTTAATTCAAAATGATTAAACGACATTTATGTTTGTTAAGTTCTATTTAAAGTCTACGTCGCAAGTATCACGTGATATTGTCAGACAAGGAGTTAAAGTTAATTTCGGAGAACATGTAGATTCATTATTCATTTGTTTCCTTTCATTTCTGAGTAGGAAGAGTGTCTGATACTCAGAATTTTGCTGTACTACTGAAACACTCTAATACTTTTTTCACCTCTAAATATGCTAATTAAAACTTTTAGTTATCCCGCTGACACACGCATTGTCGGTTAGCAATAATAAGCGCCTTTTTAAAGCACTGAAACGGAACAACGCATGTACCTATATACAGTTCCGTGTCTCGCGACATCAATTGCGCCCGCTTGCCACTGATTTACTGTCCAGTCACGCCGCACAGTGGGAAGGTATCAATGTTCCTGTGGCCAAAAATCAATTTTTCAAAATTTTTAACCCCTTGACCTATCATTTCATTTTCCATTATAACCCATACACCTACTTTATCGTTAATAATTTATTGCAGAAAAAGAAAAATTCTAAGCATATTATATGTCTATGTCTGGCCTAAAGTATATTAATTGGTAAGAGAAGAATAATATTTCACTTGAATTCAAAGGAATTAAGTAATGTTTATGTTCATTAAATTCTGTTCGAAATATTCGCCACGAATCTGACATCATATTGTAAAGCAAGGGGTTAATTAAAAACGAAATATTTACTGATAATAAACACAATAAGTTTCTTACAAGATAACGAATACGTAAATATAAGTAGTAATAAATTAATAAATATTAAGAGTAACTCAAATATGCTAATAACGTAGTTCGGCTAACTAGTAACACCAATAATTCTTAATTATTACAAATAACCCTATATAAAATGATTCTCATTTTTTTGTGGAATTACTCAAGAATGTTTCATTGTTACTATAAAAATCGTCTTATTTTCATTAATTCAAACGTTGCAGACTTTTGACCAATAAAGCTGTGATCTTGCCCACTGTGCGCCGCGTCCTTTCCGCAGGTTGAACATGACTGCTAGAATGACTTAACCCCGTAAAAATACGGTACTTCGACGGTAGTTATGCGTTTAGACTGTCTTGTACATATAATTTAATGAATATACAGCAACGTCGAGATCAGAAACGGAGAAAAGCGTGAGAACCGACTACAGGAGTCATGGTACACTGACTCAGACTTTAGCAATATGAGAAAACTAGCAGGGACTTCTTTATGCCCTGTAGTATCTTCTTTTTCTCGCGAAAACAGTCTCGCGACACGGAATCTCTTTCCTCCCCCCAGGAAGAATTTCTTAGGTACATTACTCATCCAACTTCACAATGTAAAAGGATAAAGTAAAAAGTTTTTATTTGTATTCCGTGATGTATTCATTGGATTTATGAAGAAAAATATGTGTCAGACGTGATTGTGATACATATGTATATTTACGTACTTATGTGTGTCACGAGAGAATGACTGATGGGAAACGGTAAAACAAAATACTATTTTCAGTACTCAAAAGATGTTGCTATGTGTATTAACAGAATCCCAATTTTCGTTGAATTCAAACACAACAATCTTTACTCGAAACTGAACATTCATAATATTTATAACAGGTTACGTTGTAACATACGTATCCCAATTTTATTTCACACTATATCATACGTATATTAACACTTAACACTCGAGAGGCGACTTAAGATCGTCATTCGATTGGACACAGCAAAACTATAAAATTCAATACTTAATGCCAAGTTTGATGTAATGCAATTAAACATGAAATATGGAAGTAAAATAGTTCTATCTATAGTGTATTATTTCTGTTCAATACAGTCAAAAATTTGATCAATCTTTTATTGAAAAATCATGAATATACGTGACGAAACAATTTTCGAGCGCAAAGGGTTAAGAATTCGATCGATTTTCATGCGCTGGGAAGGCGTTCTCCTTCAAGTTCATGCACGGCAGATGAAGCCATATTAATTAAGATAGCTAACGGGCTAATTATGAAAGAGAACATCCGGTCTGTAAAAGTGTATTTCAATAATAAACGTTATCGTTAAACGCCGCTGTTTGAAAGACAGCCAAAACTTTTTCCTCTAAATAGTATCCTCCAATTAATCTAGACACTAAATTTGGAAGACCCGTTGCAGCGTGTAGCAATGTTCTCCAGCAAAAAATATTTCACTTGTAATAACACCAAACAACAAAAAATATCTTTCCGCAGTTTTACTATAATATTAAATATACTTTGCAAACCATGAAATTCACAGAATCAAATGAATAATTCTAATTTTACATGTAGCCTGATCTATATACTAATTTTATTAAATTATATAACTACAATAAAAACAGGCATCAACTATTACTTCTATACAATACACAGTCACTATCTTAGATATAAGATTGGCAAATAGAATTTATCGAATGCATGTGCGTTAACCAGTTTTGCAACTATTTACGTGTTTTCAATCTTAAACAAAAAAAGTATCTAATTTCATGATTTTAGCAATTTCATGAATCTGTTGGTATTTTTCTGTCGTACCTTAAGAATCTGTCGTCATGATGACTTATTTTCTGATATCTCTTTTGGTACGTAAATGAATGCATGGACCGTGGTTTGAATACAAAGAGCTTTATTATCGTTATTACGACTAGTTACGAGAATTATCCACAGGACAGACAGCGTTTCGGTTTCCAGGTACTTGTCACTCGGAACGGAATGCATAGATGCATTTCGAATCGCCGGGAGATTCCAGTACGCTATTTAGAGCAAGCTCGAAAGTGTAGACGAGAAATATACTTAACGTTCAAGAGAGTATAACACTTTAACCTTAATTATGATGACACGAGAGCTCACTAAACCAGTCATTGCACGGACTTTACGAACGTAATGCGACTTCACGAATTTGCTTAGCTAGAATTCCTCTTCCAATACGACCAAATTCAACGTTCAACGTTTTGCAATACCGATAATCGTCTTCTTTAATAATGCGTCACGCACACATGCGGTATCACTGAGAATATCACGTATACATTTTTCAACTGGATCCGAACATAATATAAATATCACGTCTTCCTATCCGATAAATACTAACTAAAATTTATCTAAATATTATACATTGTTCACCGGCCAATTATATTGCACAACTCAGTATGTTTATTTGTAATATATACACATATATGTATGTACGTATACATATACATATACATGTATATAAATATATATACATATATCTATATAGACTTCGGGAATACTATTCAAAGGAGACACACTGTATCTGATTCAATGAAAGTCATGGAAATAATATATTCTATTTTTTAAATTCCTCGTTGATGTTATTTTACAATAAGATTTACGGAGGAAGAGCAAGACGTTCCTTAGATTACTGACCGAACGTTAACTCACCTTGAACCGAAGGATACGTAATCCTAGAGAAATGCAACGAAATCGTGCTCGCCGATGCACGAGGAGGACTATGTTTTATCCCACTTCGAAAGATCGGTCACAATAAAGCGAACGGAACGCGTGGAGGGTGAAAAATGAAAAAACTCAAAGTAGATGTACCCTTCTAGCTGTCACCTAAAGTAAACACCTGTGTACACCAGAGCCGCGGATCAGGTAGTCAGACGCGCACAGGAAACTATCACAATAAAAATGTCGGTGTCTCGCGAACGGGTATGTCCCGGAAAAAACGACAGTCAGGCGAACGATATCGAATTCGAGTCAAACGGATGCATAGACACACAACCGTACTGTGGCAATCACGAGCGGACTAAACGAAAGCACAACCGAATCGTAACGCGAAAACGAACGAAACAATCAGCCGAGAGGAGCCATGGCAGGTACGCATGCGCAACGAAACAGGAATGCCGTGAATACACGATACGTTTACTACACCTACGTACAAACACAACTGAACGTTACGGTCGTACCCGCAGGTACGAGAAAGCACCAGTGTCTCTCAATCTACGGAATATTAACTATAACTTCTTAAACCGGTTGAAGAGCGTCTTTACTTCATTTCTTACGTTCACCGATTCGTCGATCCCTCGACCGACTACAGTGAACGAATTTTCATCGTTCACTGGTAACAATATGCATCCCTAAAGACAATGAAACGCAAACAAGAATTATTCTATCGAATTCAAAGAAATTCCTAAAACATATATGAATAATATTTGTTGTTAAAAATATTCATTTTTTGTTTTTCTTTTTTTACTTTTTTTTGTT